CTGAAGTTGATGCCAAACCTGTCGATTATTTTCTCGAATTGCTTGAGCACGAATATCACTACGACATATGGACAGCGATTCGGTCATCACAGATAATTTGATAAGAAACAACGAGTAGGTGACAAGCAGTATGGCACCCATCACGATACTTGAGATCAGAAAATAGGCGTGAAAATATGGACCCGATGAAGAAGTCGTAACACAATGGACCCGAATCTGAAAATGAAGTTACTTAAAAATTATTGCTCTTACTGAATAATTACGATGAACAGGCTCGTGTTAGTAATATTATTCATATGTATCTATAAGCCAGACATAACTGTGCCGGCTCTTTTGTTCTTAAGCTAAATAATAATGATAAAACGAAAATAACAATAATCCAAAATTCGAAGATAATTCCACCGCACTCGAAAAAAAAAAAATTTGCCGAAAGGAAGAAGCAAACCTTTTCAAAACTATCCTCAGCAACCATAGCTAAGGAATCACAAGTGCCCCAAATGACGGCCAGCATGCAGAAGCGATATGCGAATTTGTAGTGATCCATAACATAACACTGTGATGGAAAAAATACCGCATAATTTCGCTCCAGTGCTATTGCTATTGTCAAAATTTTGCGTACCCTATCCAATGCAATTTCAAAAACTGAAATCAGTGAGATTTTTTTTGCTTACGAGTAATTTTCCAACGCTTTTAAATCCATTAACTTCCTACACCTTGACGATCCACTGACAACCTGCTACACCCTGGTGAAGTCACTGAGTACCCGAATGTTTAATATAGCGAAAATAAAGCACCAGAATCAACCGGGCAATTAATCAGTGTGGGTATCTCATGTTAGTGATGTTGATACTAAGCACTATGCTCATCGATCCTGAGCTACATCATTTCAAAACTTATTACCCAATGACGAAAATTATAGCATAGTAAATGCGTTTATTTGAGCACGGACTATTTAGTATCGTGACGCTAAGCATAGTATTTGAGGAAGATGGAGAAATTGAAAAATAATGAAAAAACAAAGTAACTCATTGCAAAATGTGGTAAGAATTGTATTTCCCTCCCTTACCCAAACGAACATTTTTGAGAAACTATCGTTTGGGATATTTTACTCAGCGAATTATCTGAGAGTATTACTCATTAATCTGGCATAAAAATCTCTCTACCTGATCCAATCATTATGGTCCATCGTGGGCAGTTTAAATTGTTATGAATAAATAAATTAATTAGCGTTGGTTGCGAGAAGAGACCTAAAATAATGCGTATCATAGATGGCTTATTTGCACATTTAATGCAACTGTGCGAAAAAAACGCATAAAAATGACGTTTGTTACCGCTCGTTTCGAAGTGTAAAATATATGTAAGTTTGTAAACAGCAAGTTGCCCATACGTGGATGTGTGTGTGAGTGATACCTGTAAGCTCATTTGCATGCGTTCGGATACGTTCAGTCTTAAAATTTTGGCAAACATGAACTTTAGAGGCTTCTCCGGTATTTTAGAAACATTAGGCCTCAATTTACAGCTCATAGAATCATCAGTACAATACCCCATTCCGCCATGAGAATATGAACACGCAAGTCAATAAAGGTTAGGTTGCTAACTTAATATCTGACTAGGGCTTCAGCAACCTGATAAAAGATTAACGTGCTTTTCAGAACTCATTAATTAGCCAAAATTTTCCGGAACATCTCTCTCAAGGAACTGTACTGCTGATTAGGCATTCAAGTGTTTTCTCGTTTCCAGTTCTGAATTCCAAGAAATTCTGAATTGCTAATTAAGTTTCGAAAGCTCCATACATATTAAAAAATAATGATTTGGAAAATTTTGCAATTTAATTAGATTGTTCAGTTACCGGTCTTTAAAAGTATGCAGGGCATGAAAGTACGGAACTTCGAATAAATTAAATCAGGTCACATGCAATTGTTCATTTTTGTTATTAAAATATCTCATTTTGTAGGAGAAAGCCTGCCCTAAACGCTAGAATCCAGAAATCTTTTTTTTTTTTGAAATCTAGAAAAATATTTTTTCACTTTTAACAACAATCTCTGTTTCAAAGACCATGAGCAAGATTTCATCGAAATCCGGAAAAGTATGAATGAGAAATGGAAGGGATTTCTAAGAATTTTGTACGCTTAACACTTCAAAATTTTCGTAAAGTTTATGACGAAAAAACGTTTTAGCAATTGTGCTAAAAAATTTTTCTGGCTTATCGATGAAACTTTAATTGTGAAAATAATAACGCAAAAGACAGCACATTTCGTCTTAATTAATGTTACTGATGACGATCACACTATAGACACTAGTGGTTGAAAATTTTAGTCCACTATTAGGCGGGTGATTTAAATCTTAATTACGAAATGTATTTTTCAATTCAGCCATTAATTGAAAAAATAATAATGCCACAAACCTACACTTTAATGAATGTAAATGATGGGTACCACTGGTTCAGAAGGGGGATGGGAAAAAAAATGATAAGGGGCTTAGACGGAGGAGGAGTGACTTTGTCTCGGGTCGAATAATTTTATCTTACAGGGAATAGCCTAGAAAATCCGTCAGAGGGAGAAATTGGCAAATAACGAAGTGCTCCGTTTGCTCCGCTGCCTATAGAAAGTTAACAGGGAGGAATCTTTGACTTTTGGAAATTTTGCTATAATAATATTCGAAAACCGAAAATCTGTTATACGTCCCCCAAAACGGTTCCTTTTTTTGGATACTTAAGTGTCTATAACTACTGTGTGCGTAAAATTACTCCGTATTTTAGGACCCAAACGTGATTAACGGTTAAAATACCAAAAATCAATTTTTTGGATGAAATTCAAATTTTCGTTTTGCGGATTATCTCGGGTTGAAATTTCATAACTCAATTTTCAAAAGTCCTCTTGATAATTTTTCATTTTTTCTTTTTTTTGAAAATTCAAAGAACGTGAATAGCGGCATGCGTCAAAAATCAGCATGGTTATGTGCTCGTGCGACTATTGTTGTGGTTGCGTGGTTATTGGAAATGAATGAGGCAATCAA